CCCGTAATCTTTGAACGAATCGTTTCCGGGGTTGAACGATTTCCCATAATTCGAGAAACTCACCTTCCCGGAATTCGAATTTCTCGCGTAAGACTGAAACGAATCGTCCCCAACATTCGCTCCGCTCCGATAATTCGAGAACCCGTCGATCCCAGAAGTCCCACCACCACCATAGCTCTTGAAATTGTTATGTGGGTTGTTCGCAGATTGGCCGTACCCTTTAAACGAATTGTTTTGGCCGGTCCCGGACTCTCCGTAACCCGTAAAACCAGACCCGATAATGTTCGCGTCTTGGGCGTAGCTGCTAAACTCGGTCGGGTTGGCGTTGCCTGTTTTTCCGTAGCTGACGAACGTCTCGGAGCCCGAGTTGGTGTCGTGGCTGTAGCCTGTAAAGGAGAGCCTGTGGTTGTTCGCGTCCGAGTTGTAGGCTGCGAATCCGAGGTTGGGGACGTTGACTCGGTCGTCGTAGCTGGTGAACTCGCCAGAGCCGCCGGCAGAGTCGGCGCCGTAGCTGGTGAAGCTGGCGTTGGCGACGTTGGCTTCGTTGGCGTAGAATGTGAACTTCTCCGAGTGCGAGTTGGCGTCCTTGCTGTACTTCTTGAACGAGTCGTAGGGCGAGTTCAACCCGTCCGAGTAGTTCTTGAACGAGTCGCCGCCGTCGAGTTGGGACGCGCCGTAGTTGGCGAAGTTCTTGTTGCTGTAGGCGGCGAAGTTGGCGTCTTTGAAGTGCCAAGCGACGAGGTCTTGCTGGTGGGTTTGTGCTGACGGCGAGTCGAAGGAGCAGTAGAGGTTGGCTAAGGAGCAGAAGGAGGCGAAGTGGGCGGAGAGTGAGTTATGGGCGGAGAGTGAGTTATGGGCGGCGAGTTGGGTGAGAATAGCTGAGTTGACTCGGTCGAGTGGGGATGCTTTGGAGAAGAGGAAATTGGGTTTGGGGAGATTGTTGGAAATGTGGTTGTCCCAATAGCGATTCAGTGAGGCTTTTGGTGTAAATGGGTTGGTTTTAGTTTGAGCACTTGTGACCTGTATGCACATGAATATAAAACATAAACAAAAAAACAAAAAAATAGATTGAGGAAAATCACATGAATAATTGGTAAGTGAAAATCAGAAGAAATATATGGAATTTGTGGTTAGTTTCTTACCTTGAAGGGTGAGAGTGAGGAGAGCAAGAACAAGAGGAAAATGTTCATGTTTGTAGAGTTGGACACCCAGAGAGAGAGAGAGAGAGAGAGAGAGAGAAGAGTGGCAAATTAGGGTTGTTGAGAATAGCTTTTGCTTTTGGGTTCTGATTCCTTTCTTCGGCCAAACTTTTGCTTTTACAAAAAGCATGTATATGCAAAAACTGGTTTATGCAGCAGCATGCTATGTAGTCTCTGCAGAAAAGAATGGTAGATGTGACATTACAAAGTATGTGTTGAATGAAGTGGAAGGTTTGTTCTTTTCCTAATTGGATTGGATTTAGAAAAGTGGAAATTAATTAACATGGTAAATAGGGTGCCCTAGTTCGTTGTTGATGTAGGGTTTTAGGAAATCAAGAAGAGCATATATTAATCAGGTGTGGGCAGGGCAGCAGCAAGTGGCTGCTTTTCAGTGATACCATGTCATTGTGTCTCAGATGAGTTGTGGAAAACAGGAGTTAGATAGATTATATGGGCATATTCTAAGGGACCCGACCCGAATATCAAAAAGTCTAAGCTAAACAAATATATATAGTTTCCTTTGAGTCTACTGTCTACATGCCATGGGTTTGGCAAATCCTAGAGGAGCTTCTAGTTTATAATAGTACCAAGGCAAAGATGCTTCATTTTTGGCTTAAAGTAGCCCACTAATTTTGTGCAGCGTGCATTTCAGTGACTAGTCCCAGCTACCTAGGAACCCACTCTGCTGGCATTATATAGATCACTGACCAACAAATATATATAGCTTATCTACTAGCTACAAACTCCTTATATATATATATATATATATATATATACACGGAGAATCGAATTTATGACCTAAGATATAAAGATAACTACTCTTAACCATTTGAGCTATAAGCCCTTTGCTAATATAGTTTGATAGAAATTTTTTATACAGTTTGATAGAAAGATGATGATGCGTTGCTGTAGTGGGCTGAATTGGGGAATGTTTGGGAGCTGGGTTTGGTGCTTAGAGAGGAGGGAGCTATGTTGGAGGTATTTGGGCTTAAGAGGGGAAAAAATCTGAATTTGTAAGAAAAATTTGAATACATCTAGGGGAAAAAATCCTCTGCAAATAGCGATGATTTCTTTCCTCCATTTCATAATCTGAATTTGTAGAGTAAAAGATCCAAAAAAGAGTTGAATTAGTATGACCAGGGCAGTTGATTAGATTTCTGAAGATCTATTGTTTTGACACAAGAAGAACAAATTAAGAGAGCTAGAGGAAGTATGTGTCCGTCAAGAAGATTAATTGTAGCCCAGTGTAGGAGGGTTTTGATTTGCAGACAAGAAGTCATATGCGTGTGAGAAAAACCCTTTCATTCTAGTTTAGACTATCACTTGTACTTAAAAAAAAAAAAGGTAGCTAAAGAAACCTGTTCATTAATTTAATTTTTTCTTGGAACAACAAATATATGTAGTATTGTACGAAAAGAAAATGTCAAATTCTTTCTCTTTTGATTTGTAGAACTATAATGTTCTCTTTGATTTTCTTTAAGAAAATGTTTTGGTGTGTAGGCTTATTGCTAGCAAACGGCAACTTGCATCCATCTTTCTTTACATGCTTCAGGATGTAAACGACATGTCGTTTCATCTCCATTTGGTTTGTGTGTATTGGCTTGGATTTGGTTGGATGAAGTGGAAGAAGTACAGAGCAAACCCAGAAAGAAGTGGCTGTTTAGTTAGTTAGGACTTGACCCCAAGTACCCGCCAAAAATGATAGTAACATCTTCTTCCATTAAAACCCCTCCTCCTCCTCATCCTCCAAATCCATGGGCAGCATCTCAAAACCCTAACAATTCATTCCTACCCATCAACCGTCGCAGCCTTCTGTCTGCGCTCACCATCTCCACCACCACAACCCCTTTTGCAAACAGTTTTCTCAACCCCATGTCAGCACAAGAAGTAGCTTTTGCTCGTGGCCTCTTCCAGATGCCCCCAGTTAGGCTCACCAACCGGTAATTCAGCAAACTCATGTTCTGTTTTTGGTTGAATCTTGAATAGATCTTTGATTTCTGAGAAAATTGAGGAAGTTAATGGAAAACACAGTAATGGGTTTTTGGGGTTGTGGTTTATGCTGCTATTTGTTTCCAGAAAGCTGAAAATTTTGTCCCCATTTGAACCGTACTGGTGATATATGAGTTTCTGTGATATTGGGTTCCAATGATGTTAATATGTAGCCATGGTTATGTATGGTATTATTGCATTGGTTGTTGAATTGTTCTGAAACTGTTGCTTGTTGGTGTATTGGAAGGTATTTTCTGGTGAGGGCTGGGGAGTCTGAATATGAGAGCATTGGAGTAATTAATACCAACCCGGTTGCGAAAACTTCTGTTGATAACGGTTTGTCAGAGAAGGGGAAGAAGCAGGCTGTGAGGTCAGCTTTCGATTTGAAGGAAATGGGAGCTTGTGATAAGAACTGTTGGATATGGCCTTCTATTACTCAGAGAGCTTACCAGGCTGCAGAGATTATTGCATCGGTTAATGGGGTCAGTCGAAGGTGTGCAAGTTAGTATGATTTCATGAAGTTCAAAGATTTAACTTTGATGTCTTTTGAATATTAGAAAGAAAAAGTCTAGTGAGATTTCAAACTTGTCATAGGGCTGAAAGTACTATGAACTATAGTGTTACACATTCCATCTAGAGTTGTGTGTGTTCTAAAGCTATGAAATCATCTTGTATGATTATTGAATCATGTTTCCTTGTCATAGTGAGCTATCAAGGAAGGCCACTTTCCTAAGTCAAACTCATTAAACATTTTAACCTGAGTTGGGATTTGGGACCATAATTTTGGAGGGCAACTGGGAATGGTATTTCCATTCTAGAAACCTGCTGATTAAGTATACCTTCCAAAGTTGTTTGCTTTCAGCAATCATTGTCTATTCTTCGTTGCAGTTATATTGTCCCAGAGTACAGCTTTCTTGATGCCAGAGGATTGGGAGCTTATGAAGGGAAGAACCTGGAAGCTGTTTCAGAAGTAACATTTCCAATTACAGCCAATTTGCTTCTCTTTAAGTCATTGACAAGCAAGTATGATAATACCTTTGTTTATACTCCTCAGGTATATGCATCAGATACTCTTTCTCCAACAATCAAGCCGCCTCCTATTGACGATGGAACCCCAAACGAGAGTGTTTCAGATGTCTTAGTTCGGGTAATACAACTCATGTCCATACTTGAGACTCAGTACTCTGAAGACACAGTGATAATTGTCTCACCAGATTCAGACAATTTGACAATCCTACAAGCTGGTATAATTGGACTTGACTTGCGCAGGTGATTTGGAACCCTCTTCTTAAACGTGATTATCGCTTCGAACAAGAATCTTGATAGTGATCAAGCATTCTAAGTGCTAAGTTATCATGATAATGCTGTACTAATAACATCTCTTTTTTTTATTTCAGGCACAGGGAGCTTTCTTTTGCACCTGGAGAAGTCAGATTTGTTGATACCAATAGTGTACCTACTTACAAGCAACCCGCTTCAGCTGTATATAAATGTCTAAAACCACCAAATTGTAACTGATATTACTTCTTCGTTTAATTTTAATTATAGTAACAAAATGTATGCTATGGTCAATCGTTATACTTTAGATTTCGCCCTTTCGCGTGCGAGGCTTATATAGCAAGATTAATGCTAACACATGTATAAAGTAAAAAGTACAGAACTTAACAACCTTGGTGGGTACAGCACAACTAACTAACTCAAAATAATTAAGCTAACAGCACTAATTAAAAAGAAAAGATAATTAAGGGAACTAAATCAAACGGTTACAAAAAATAAATAAAAATAGAAAGAAGTAAACTCATAAGTCGCCGTGGAGTAATTGGAAGAGAAGATACAGTCAGCTATTTTGGTGCCCAAAAGATCAACAAGTCCTTCTCAGAGTAAGACTCAAGACTCAAAGTTGCTCTACTCTCTCTCTCTTTCTGTCGCTTTCTTGCGAGCTAGCTTTGTTCTCTCCGAAATCTCTTTACGCGTATGAAAGATCGGAGCTTTTGGGGTTCAATTTCAAGCATTTCTCTCTTCAAATGAGCATCAGAGGATATTGGGATTCATTGTAGTCTGTATTTTGTCTTCTGTATAGTTCGCCCCCCATGGCCATCCGAGGCGTCGATTTCAAGTGGTAAAGTATCTTTCTTTGAACCCATTCAATTGCAGTGTGGTAGGGTTTTGATGTCGAATTCGAGTGATTTTGCATTGCAGGTACGATGGGTTCTTCTTGTCTATGCTCGCGACAAGTGTGTATCCTTTAATGTCTTATAAATTAGGGTTTTCAATTACATGCTGGCCTCTCAATTTTCCAAAAGATTCTTTAACCGGTTCACTAACAGAGTCATTGTTGCAATTAATTGGAAACGGTACCATACCTGTACATACCCGTTGCACATATGGATCGTGGTGGGTTTTTCTCTGAATTCTAAGCAAGTTTGATATGGGATTCTTTTGAAATATATTTTTCTTGAATCTCAGTTGTTTTTCTGATGAAGTTTTATTCTTACTGGTTCAGGTTGATTACACTACCGTGTTTGTTTTTCGGATGTTGATGTTTGTGGATAATGGGCTTGCCTCTGGAATGGGTTTGTAAGGCCATTTTTCCCAGTTAATGTGTCCCTGCTACTTAATTTGTTCAATTTGTGTAGCTGAATAGTACATAAAACCCTTTTCTTTGCCCCTTCAAATTTTGCTTTTAGGGATTTTGGGTGGCAGCAGAGATATGCTCGTTTCTGCGGAAGAGTAGTGGTCCTTTCAATTCTTTCTCTGCTACTCTATCCATTTCTTTGGACTTGGACAGTAATTGGTACGCTGTGGTTTAGAAAATCAAAGGACTGTGTAAGTTATATCCCTTATTTCTTGGCTGAATGATCGTGTGTAAACAAGTTTATTGATGGTACTAATACATTATTATGCTTGCAGTTGCCTGAAGATGGTCAGAAATGGGGTTTTCTTATTTGGTTACTTTTTAGTTACTGTGCACTACTTTGTGTTGCTTGCATGTCGATTGGGAAGGTTAGTGGTGCTTTATGTACTTGTCCATTTTTCAGATACAGCCAGGACTGTTGTTCTAAGTGAGCTCATTTTGAAACACTTATACATACGTTTTTATAATGATATATTCTGTGATGTTCTTATCCTTATTTTTGGAACCCCCTTTCTCAGTGGTTGACACGAAGAGAGGCACACTTATTGCGTGCTCAACAAGGGATTCCTGTTTCAGAATATGGGGTAAACCCTGAAACCCTCATTTCAGTTTTGCTTGAGAATTGTGATAGTGTTGTTTTGACTATGTAAGATGCCCATGTGATGTTGATTGTTTGCCGCATTAAGTGTTCAAAGCTATGATATTCTGTGTTGGTCCAATTGTTCCTGCATTAATGGTAATGATTTCTCTCATTATTAAAGGTTTTGGTTGATATGATTCGGGTGCCAGACTGGGCATTTGAAGCTGCTGGTCAAGAAACTAGAGGGATGGGCCAAGATGCTGCTGCATACCAACCCGGACTTTACTTGACTCCAGCACAGGTACCTGCCACCCCAAAATTCTTCTCTGCCGAGGAAATTGCTTATCTTTCCTTAGATTTACATGCTTTTTCAGTTTTGAGTATGATGGTTGTGCTTTACTCCTACTACAACATATTTTGTAGATAAAGAATTTTTATGTGTACTTGGTTTGAATTCATGATATTAGTTTACTCAAGCTATTTATGCAGTGGCAGTTTTGATAAATTCTTTGCTCAATCTAGCATTTGCGAAATCAACGTATAGAAAATAGAGATTTGTGGTTCTAAGGGGTGTTGCGCACATGCATGCCTGTCTGTATGTGCACTCTTTACTCTGGCTCAAGCACACTCTGACTTTAGAGGGCTGGCATAAGATTCAAGAACATATTAATTGTTGTGCTTCATTGGTAATAAAAGGCTGTACTGAAAACAAATAACCTCTTCAATTACAGTTCTTTTTTCATTGGGAAGTCTTTGTTGTCTATACCAGTTCGCAATTTTTTTTCTTTAATTCTGAATTCTGATGGTTGATGTTCTTGTCTGTCTGGGTGTTGCAGACAGAAGCAGTGGAAGCACTCATTCAGGAGCTTCCAAAGTTCAGACTGAAGGCTGTTCCAACTGATTGCAGTGAATGTCCAATATGCTTAGAAGAGTTCCATGTAGGCAATGAGGTAAATTTTTTTATGAATATCTATGCTACTTTTAAACACAAAGAAATCTAAATTATGTCATGCTTTTTGGGCATATAGTATATTATTCATTATTAAAATGTTAATATATGATTTGGATCAATGGTCCCCTTCTGTCGCCATCTGTAAAATGTTAAGACAGTTCTGAAAAAAAGAAACGAGAAGGGAACCAAGTTCACAGCTGTATCATTAAGCAAATACATATGGCCATACATGTTTTACCTTCTGATAGTGAATCAGTTATTGCAAAGTTCAATAGAAGATTCTTACTGGAAGTGGTGCAGGTTCGTGGCCTGCCTTGCGCTCACAATTTCCATGTAGAATGCATCGATGAGTGGCTTCGACTGAATGTGAAATGTCCTCGGTGCCGTTGCTCAGTCTTCCCAAATCTCGACCTTAGTGCTATATCCAATCTCCGTCCTGAATCTGAGCGGTCATCTGTCAGCGTGTTGACAGCTAACCGGTACGTGAGAACCCAACCTTACAGTCAGAGCTATTTGTTGAGGTTACAGGGTCTGCTCCGCCCAGTCCGTATGGAAAATGCAGGTGTAGGTCCATCAGGCACTGCGGCAGACACTGCTCTGGAAACTTCCGAGTATGGAGGCGTTGCTCTGTCTACTCGGGATCCATCAAGCCCAAGGCCGGTCTCTTCCGCCGGACATATTGTTGTTGTTGACTCCACCGCACAACAACAATAGACTGTTTCCTGAATTACATTTCCCAAATGTTAACTGAATTTCCTAACCCACATGCCGAGGAAGGCTTAATGGTATTTAATCTGTGTACCTGCCCATTGCTTGGCATGCTTTTGTAATGGCTGTTGCTTGCTAAAGTCTAAATCTTTTGCCATCTTTTGGCACTGTGGTGATGGATATGAGAACCGAATCTGATTGGTTAACCAATGCAGATTAGATGTACTGTTTCATGAATGTGAAGGCCACTTTCAGGTGAAATACTCTACACGGTTTATCAAAGCTCCTCCCCTTTTCCTTTTTCCTTCTATCTTTTGTTTGGTCTCTCTCTCTAGCTTGTGCGTAGACAATGATCTGTGTGGGCCCTTGCGCCAATTTTAAGGTCCGGAAGCCAAGAGGAAAATATACGTGGTATAATCTCAGCCGTTTCATCAAACTTGTGTTAGCCTAATTTTGTAATAATTTGTCGTCCACTCATCCAATTTTGCAAAACACTCATGGCTGTTCTCTTATTGTTTGCACCTGTAACACGTGGCAACCAATGGAGAGAAGTTGGGGTCAATGGCTGATCCTTTAAGCTGCCTATGATCGGCCTGTTGGCTTAAGGGTGCAAATTCTCATCAAATAAAAGCTTCTGGACAATTAATTAAACTAAATACAAGCATCGCCATCACCCAAGTTAGTGTTGAACTTGATTTGAAGCCAAATATTAAACCCAAATTCTGAAGTGATTTAGAGTATTTATCCTTGCATCCGAGATTCTCCAAGAAAATTTTATGGGTATTATTAGGTTAAAATACAGTTGAATTATTATCAAGTTTGACTAAAATTTAACCCAATTAGTAATCTGGTATATAGGAAAGTTTAATTTAACCCACAAATCTAGTGGGCCTGGGTTGTAGTAATTCAGTAATTGTAAGTTTTTTACCCGGCGATTCTATCCATATATCTCATCATCTTCCTTCTTCTACCAACTGCTCCAATATAATAAGACAGACACAAACTCACAGATATTGAATTCAAAATCCCCACAATAATACAACATAAAGATTGTGGAGCGAGAGAGAAGAACAGAGAGATGGCGGTCGCCAATGGATGGGGCGTGGGACAAGCAATCCCAGTGCCCCAATTCGGCCCCAATTGCTGTTCCGGCTTCTTAGCCTACAAGTCCAAATTCAACAGTACCAATAAAAATCTGAGCTTTGTTCTGAATTGGGGCTGCTCTGCTCAAACCAAGTCTTCAGCTTCACCTTCTTCTTCTCTGAGTAGGAATAGAAAGAGCTCAAATTTGTGTTGCCGTTGCAGTGAAAGTAACAGTTATATTGATGACTGTATTGGGTCTTCTTTGGAATGGGATTGGAATCGCTGGAGTCGCCATTTTTCCGAGATTGAACAAGCCGAGAGCTTTGCCTCTGTTCTAAAGGTATGTGGGTTTCTGGTATTTTTTGCCCAGTTGCTAAATTGTATCGAAGTTTCGTTTCAGTTTTGCTGCTTTAGTAAGGGGAGCTTTTTTTTCTATCATTGTTATATAGTTTCTGATTTAATTTGGAAGTATGTTGGTTTTCAATATAGAGTTCCTAGTTGCTAAAATTAAATTTTGTTTAATGCTTTTACTAGTTAAACTGCAAAGTTGATAAGTCAAATTGTAAGCTTGGTGAATTTACATGAACTTTACAGCTTTTGATGATTATCTTTCATTAATTTATGCACTTCAAATTTTTCTCTCATCATTGATCTTATAATTGTCTGACTACGTGTGCCTTTTGCTTCCAATTCCTATGATTTCATGAAGCATAACCATGCCCTTTTGGACTCTGTTTCGAGATAGCTGAGGCGGGAGGACAAATTACAAGTAGTTTTTTGTTTTTGTTTTTAACTTGATTTTATGCTTTGTAGTTTCAACTTGAAGATGCAATTGAGAAGGAAGATTTCCAGGAAGCTGCAAAACTGAAAATGTGCATTGCAGAAGCTACATCAAAGGATACTGTTGCTGAGATCATGTCTCAATTGAAGGTTAGATGAGCAGTTGTGCCATTATTATTGTGTACTTTCTCAAATCAGAATTTGTTTGTTGACCTGGTCTGCTATATCTTTGCAGAATGCAATTGAGGAAGAGCGTTACCATGATGCTTCAAGATTGTGCAAGTACTCAGGAAGTGGACTGGTAATTTCTAACAACCTGGCTTAAACAATTTAATTTGAACATCATAATTATATTCCTTGGCTGGGGTAGGTAGCTTTTGCTCTTCCTTTCTTCTCCCACTTATTTGAAATACGATCGAGTATATTTTGTTGGAAGACTAGGTATTCTGTCTGGTTTTAGTGGCAGGTATTGCAGTTTTGTGGGACTCCAAAGGGTCAAGGGGAGGGAATGGCAACATTTATCTGATAATTGACCTTTGAGTCTGTACCATCCCCTGCATGTCACTGCCTTCCCCTGTCCTCTCCCATGCATATTATTAAACTTTTTATTCTCTTCAAAAGATGAAACATTCCCCTTCTCTTTGGTCCACCCAAAAACAACCAAAAATAGTGTCTCTGCAGATTATTTGGATTGTCACAACAGAGATTTTTTGTATTTTGGCATTAATGCTACTTGCGTATTTATTTAACTAGTCTTTTCAATACATTACTGGGATGGATATTATAGATTAGCATATGATTGAGATTGTGTCCAAAGTTGGTGCAGTTCTACTGCTACTAGTTTTAGTCATACTCTTGTGAAGCTATTTTATCATAACTGATCTATGGATCATTAAATTGTTGAATACTTGTTTATCTGATGGATCTTTTTCCTGGTTTATTCTTTATTCCATTTTAATGTGTTCTTTGAATGTGATTGACAGCCTTATTAGTTAGGCATGCTTTGCAGTGAATTTTTTGTTGTGTCCCCTAAGTCATTCTCTCTGCATAAGCAGGTAGGATGGTGGGTTGGCTACCCAAAAGATTCAGATGATCCCTTTGGAAGACTCATACGAATAACTCCTGGTGTAGGCAGATTTGTCGGCAAGAGTTACAGTCCAAGGTAAGATCTTTTGGGCTTTGATTTATGTAACATCTATTGGAAAACATTAGTGATTATTATTTGTTGCAGACAGTTGGTTACGGCATCGCCAGGAAGTCCCCTTTTTGAAATTTTTGTGGTAAAAAATGCCGATGGGACACACGTTATGCAGGTGATGTGATGCTTATAATAGATAATAATATTTCATCTCTTATATGTGCTTGCCATACAAATTTGTAAGTGTCGAAGTGGCCTGGCTGACTAGATTTTGCATATCTGTTAATAATCTCTCTCTCTTTGGTCTTCTGATATCATATCTGTTAGCAGGTAGTTTACTTACACCAACCCAAAGCCAATTCAACAAACTCTGCTGTTACACCATCCAAACCTGAAAAAGGCTCGTCCACTTCTGAAGTTAAGAATGCAACCCTAGTAGATGTTCAGAAAAATGAAGGTAAGGCAGAGAGCAGTGAGGAGAAGGGCATTAATATTGAGGGAGCAACTGAGGAGGGAATTAAAAGCGTGATAAATTTTCTGAAGAAAAAAATTCCAGGACTTAAAGTTAAAGTCATGGATGTTGATGTTGCTAAGGAAGTGATAGAGGATGAAAATTCTGTGAACCAATTGATGCAAGAAAATAGTGAGAAGTCAGATTCTGATGACAGTTCTGAAGACGAAGTGGATAATTTGGATGAAATTCAGCCTGATGAGGTCACTCTAGGAGAAGGTAGTGATACCACACAGGATGAAAAGGATTTGGATATGAAACTTTTTATTGGTGGGGTTGTACATAATGATGATGATGCTCCTATCAAGGATGAGTATGTGCGTCGGCCTGCTGAAATCAAAGATGTGGAGAGAGATTCTTTTGTATTGCATATTCCAGGGAGAAGCCTAGATCATGATACCAGAGAAAGTAAAGCATCCAAAGTCAAAGTGGCAGCTCTAGCAGCTAAAAGCGTCTCTGAGCTCATGCCTTCTGATGTTGCCAAGGCATTTTGGAATTCTGATAAGGTTTCTCCAAAGGTTGGTTGAACTTCTATGCCATCAGGAAAATAAGATATGGAAATTGCATGCAGTAAAAAACTGAATCTTCCAGTTGACATTAAGTAATTGGGTTCATGAATAGAATCAATTGAGTTAGATAGTTTTGTTGTACATGGTAAACTCGTGGTTTACAAGGATTGTGGAATTAGGAATTCCCAAAGACTATCCTTGGTAGATGTCTTCCTTTTTCCCTTTTCCATATTTTTATAGTAATGTAGTATTTCTAGGAAGCTTGCATCCTGGCCATTTTGGGTCAGCTATTGATTTTGAGGGCAATAAAAAAGTTTGAGGCTTGTTTTTTTAATTCACAGAACTGATGGAAGGTTTTTCTGTTTTATCAAAATTGTCATAGTTAATAGTTTCCCTTTTAATTTATAACTAGGTTACAAGGAATATGCGTGAAATAGTCAAGCTTGCTGTTAGTCAAGCACAGAAGCGGAGTAGATTATCCGAGTATACAACGTTTAATCGGATCAGTACCTCAAGTGGAGATTTGGATCCCTTTGACGGTGAGTTTTCATATTCTCCACATTTCATGTCTTTTTATCTTGTACTTAGAAAAAGGATAATTTTCTAAGGAACTCTTCTGTTTGAAGTATAGGCTTGTATGTTGGTGCATTTGGCCCTTATGGCACTGAGGTAGTGCAACTGAGGCGTAAGTATGGGCACTGGAATGGTTCAGAAGGCAAAGACAGTTCAGCAGATGTGGAGTTCTTCGAATATGTTGAGGCAGTTAAGCTAACTGGCGACCTGAATGTTCCTGCTGGCCAGGTTTATAGCTTTCTAGATCTCGTGATTGTCATGCTCCTTGTTCTGTACAACCGCATGTTCACTGTATTCATGCATCATGGGATATGCAAACATATGTTGTACTAAACCGTGGGATTTGCATATGCAGGTGACATTTCGTGCTAAAATTGGAAAAGGGAACCGTCTTTCCAACCGCGGGATGTATCCAGATGAATTAGGAGTGGTAATGATACTTTCAATTGGAACCTCTGCGTATGTGCATGTGTTCAGTGTGTGGTAGTTTTTATCTAGGATTCTAGGACCAAACAGTCAAGGAAGTTGTTTGGCTTACCATTGACTGTATCATATTACCATGGAACCTAGTAGATCATGATCACATGCTTAACACTATAGAACACCCTTTCTGTTATTTTACTCAAAGCATCCGAAGAGTTCATTTATGTATGCAGCTGATTAAGAGTTTATTTATCCAGGTTGCAAGTTACAAAGGTCAAGGAAGAATAGCAGAATTCGGGTTCCGAAATCCACAATGGGTTGAAGGAGAACTTCTCCAACTCAGTGCCAAGGTGAATAAACTGGTTCAGGATGTCTTCGTGCTTTACTTCTTTATAAAATCCTGATTAACCAGCAAGCTCTCAAGAAATCTGCATTGTATTTGTAACCTTTTCCTTCTTTTGGCTGATAGGGCATTGGACCATATGTCAAGGGTGCAGATCTTGGTTTTCTTTACATCGTTCCTGAGCAAAGTTTCCTTGTACTGTTCAATCGCCTAAAACTACCAGAATGAGCCAATGGTACCACAATCTGTTTGAGCTCATACATCTTTGATATGGCAAGACATCACACACTCTGATGTCAGAGAAGGGTTCTTTTAATGTACCGTATCTGAGCAAAGAAGTTAATTTCACTGTATTAAGTAGGCACTTGGATTTATTTTCCTCCCAATTTCAACTATTTTTTTTCCTCGTCTTTCTTTCTTGCCCCTTGTAACTTCATGAGCTGTATATCATTTTTGCTGACCAAATATATTGCGACTAGTACAGAAACTGCAACGAGGCTCCAAGTCGTGATCGGTTTCCGGATATTGCTTGGCTTTCTCTCTGTGGTCTGTTGATATCTTATGATCTACAAACACGGTTCTTCTCATGTGTTTCCCCAAAGACTTAATGAATTAGATAATGGCAAGTCATCAATGATTATGGGGTACCACCAAACCAAGTTTAAGAAATCAGTAAAACATGAAAAGTAGATTGTGAGATGTCTTGTGGTTGCTTAAAGGTAAAAAAGCAAACTCGCTGGTGCTTTCCTTTTGTTAATTTAAACACTAAAGCCATTGTGATTAATACACATGAATGATGCACAGACTGAAGAGACTAAAAGAGATGCTTTTCTTGGTTGTTTTAGGTATATACTTTCTTCCTAATAGTCTTTTTGCCAAACTGGCAATCAGGATCTAATATAAGAGACTATCTAACAAGAGAATATTATCATATATATATCTTATATTATATTCAATGAAAGTCCATTATTCGAAAAATCTCTGCACATAAGGAGGAATCTGTCTACTTGAAGGGAAATCAAAAAAGTTGGAAAGGAATGTTTGCCTTTAGCTCATGAAAGATGAAAGATGGCGCACTACTAAAGAAACCCAAAAGAACTTTGCATAAAGTTTTCCACTCAAAGCTTGCTTGGATTTTGTAGGCTTCAATTTGTTTTTCTTGCTTTTTGCCTTATCATGCAAACTTCGTCTTAAAGCTCTTAAATTAAAAGCACTTGTATTAGCTTTTTCTTTTTCTTCCAGTACTCTTCGCACTTAGCTTTTTACTGTAATCATTATAAAATTGATTTGTTTGATCATAATTATAAATTTGTTTAGTAAAAAAACAAACTCATTGTTTGCTTAATGGCAGTGGCCAGTGTTTAAAAGTGGTACGAATCTTACGACGTCGTATGAAGCTGTCTGCTTCCCACTTTAGTGAGCAAGTAGTAAGCGGGAAACAAAGCCTTTCCACGTGGCCTAATCCCCACAGCGCGAAAACGCGAAATTAAAGACTCCAAGTCCCACCATCATCACTTCTAACTATCTTTCTCTTTCTCTCCGTTTCTCAGTTCCCAAACGCACTTCTTCCCACTCAATAAAATCTTAAAAAGACAATCGGCGCCAATGGAACCCCAATCCCAACCCCAACAACAACAACAAAACCAGAACCAGAAATCCAAGCCAAACATGAACAAGTCTTATTCGATGAACTCGGACGACTCGCCGCTCCGCTTCCACTCCCCGATCCGATCCGACGCCGGCGACCCGCCCGAAACTCCACCCTACGAGTCTCCCGAGAACTCTCCGGAGAGGCGGGTGGACAACTCCAAGGCGATCATGGCAGTCGACAAGTTCACCCAGTACTCGCCGCTCCGGCCTCAGAAACCGCCGGAGAACGCTAAGGCGCCGTCTCCTCTGGTGGTGTACAACCGGTCGATGAGGGAGGACGTGGCGCCATCGGTGTCGAAGGTGGGGCCTGTCGTTGGAGCCAACGGCACCGAAGACGTCGTCAACGGCGTCATTGGAGGTGGGAGATCGAGGGGGATGACTTCGACCCGGCCGAAAAGAGGAGATATGGTGAAGACGGCGGCGCTGGGGTTTAGAGTGAGCGAGGTGGTGCTGTGCTTGATTTCATTCTCGGTTATGGCCGCTGATAAAACTCAGGGGTGGAGCGGCGACTCCTTCGATCGCTACAAGGAATACAGGTCTCTCCTGAATTTCAATTTCAATTTCAATTTCGACTTAATTTCCATTAATTTTTTCTATTTTTCTGAAATTTTAATTTTGATTAGCTGAGTAAGTCAACCAATTAATTTTGATTTAAGCGCGTAAATCAATTCAAGCCGTTTGGTTGCTAAATGAAAAAAAAAAAAAAAAATCCGTTTTCCGCTTAACATGAGTTAAATACAACCTAAACGACATTCATTAGAACATAAAAATTATCTTTTCTTGTCGTCTGTTTTGCTTCAGTTTTTAAAATAGTGTTTGTTGCATATGTTTAGTTCGTTTGAAAAGCATTGTTAAATCCAATTTGCTCGTTTATTATATACTTAAATGGTTGCGTGAGTGAACATGTACAATGTGAATTGGCTTCTTGCAATTTCTATTTATTTTGAACTTTTGGAGATAATTTGATAGTGAAGTGAAGATTATGTGCTGCTGACTGCAGGTATTGCTTAGCTGTGAATGTTATTGCATTTGCATATGCTGCCTTTCAGGCTTATAATCTATCCTACCATCTAGTCACACGGAAATATGTGATCCGCCACCATCTTCGTCACCACTTCGATTTCTTCATGGATCAGGCAAGTTATGCAGCCCATCTGTTTATATGTTCATTTAACATTGGCTTGTAGAATTTTGATTTAGAAGGATATAAGCATTTGTTCAGGACTTGCAAACATAGCTAAGTTGGTCATGGACTCATGGCCTAATGCCTATTATTTCTTTCCTGGTTTCTGTTGTGATATAGGCTTCTGTGTTAAGACGATGCTGTTTTAAGAAACTTGAATAGATTGAGTTGCATTGGTTAGACCCGTAGTTGACTCCAAATCCTTCGAACTGGCTGCCTCAGTTCAAGGGCAGCTAAAGATTTGTGTACTGATAAGCAATGCATTATGTTTTGCTTTGTTTGTGGGTTCAATTTGCAGGTACTGGCGTATCTTCTGATTTCAGCATCATCATCTGCAGCCACTCGGGTCGATGACTGGCAATCAAATTGGGGTAAAGACGAGTTCACGGAGATGGCCACTGCTTCGGTCAGCATGGCCTTCCTGGCTTTTGTTGCCTTTGCACTTAGCTCCCTCATCTCTGGTTACAATCTCTGTACCCATGACTCTGCATGACCGCAACTATAACCAGCCGGCCGTAGACTAAGTTTTCAATTTCTCATGTTGTGAGAAGATAATTATAGAATGTGAATGAAAAATTATTTTTTTCAATGTTGTTTGTACAGCTTCAAACAGCATGTTTTCCTCCCATAGCGATTCCACTGTCGCTGTATTCTGGCTCTTTAAATATTTTATGGAGAGAGCATAGCTTATATATATATATGTTATGGATTTTGATATTACTTCTTGAATTCTTTCCATTTTGTACAAATTTGCAACTTTCAAGAAGAATAAAGTTCATCTTTGTCAACGGAGGTCTAGCTCAATATAAAGTGTCTTGACTTGCAGACTGTGTATGAGAAACTCAGTTTTCCTTATAGTTTACATCATTTCATTGCTTGTATTAAGAAAAAACCAAAAAGGTCCATTTTTCTCTTCTCTTTGTTGGTGTTGGGCAGCCATTTGGCACAAAGGGCTTGAGAAATCATTTGGAGAGTTGAATGAGGATCCATTTCTTTTTGGTTACATGGGTCGAAAACCCAAAATAAAACTTGGGCTTGAAATTGAACATCATTGGACCCAGAAGAAAATTCCCAAATTTATTTATTTTATTTCATTTCTATTATAATTCATTATGGATCAGCCAATGTTGTCCTTGCTCTTGGGTTGTCTTGTTTCCTTCAACTTCTGAAGTTCATTGCAAGCAATGTCATTTGCTTGATGCTCTGTTGGACATATTCCCAAAGTCCTCCAATCAAAAGATTGCCATAATTGTGTTACGCAAACATCAACCATGTTAGCTTCGTTCTCAAGAATGGTGAACTCTCACCATCAAACATTTACACACAACATCTCAACATTTCTAGTTGGCCGTTGATTTGGACCGATCATGTCTTAACCCAACAACCAACCTGAACTTTTTCATGCAAGTGTTCCTAGCTAGGGTTGGTGTGCTCTACCCTTTTTGGGTATATATACAGTATATGTATTTCGGACAGTACACATGACACCTCCTCTCTCACATGCTAATTGATGCTTATCCAAACCCCCAAAAAAAGAACAAAAACTAAATAAAATCCAAGCGAAGAAGAACTTCAACCCCTATAATTCGATTTCCCGTTGTTAATTACGTTATTGGTCTTTGCTAATTAAAAGCGTTAATTTTCTAAAATTATGTTTGAATATGTAATCTAATTGACAATCTGATAGCATAACATACGACTATATACGACTATAACTTAGTAGATAGAATGAAAAGAGTTAAAAGGGGTTCACGTGGGATCCTCCATCAGCCATGTTGATGCAGTGCACAAAATGGAACTAGATGACAAACATTCCCTATCAGACCCGTCTTTTTCTAACGAAGCAGTCAATTTATCATCTTCTTCTCCCCTTCACATTCGCTTGTCCATCTCCATGCATGCACATCATCATCAAATCTCAGCCCTCCGATCCATAAAACCCCACCAATAAAATCCAAATCTCATCTCATGCAACCCTAATAATATCATCACATACCCATCAAAACAATTACGTCCGTGTATAATATAATATAATATAATATATGCTTATACTTTACACCACCCAAACTTTGTCATTTGTGATAATTAATTAATTATATATTCTAATTATGCTTTAAATTAATCTAATTCTAATTCTAATCTAATAAGTCACACCAACCATAATTAGTACGGCCAAGGGATATATTCTGTACCATAAGTTTTGGCTAAATTATCGAATCTGAGCTGGTACGTACTACATAACATGGACACGTGGTATTTTAATTTCATCAATGTTTCCAAGGTACCCAATGCATGTGCACCACCCCGAATTTGTGCCACAAAAGCTTTAAATAATAAATAATAAATAAAAAAGGGCCCCCTTTGATTCTTTTCAATAATTAAATATATATATATATATGTTACCTTTCGAAACTGTGATATGCTAATATACAATTAATATGAAATCACTTTGGAATTTTGACCCTTGACAATGAGTTGACACCTAAAATACACTCAAGGGTTGTTGAATTAATATTTTATTATACAGATTGAATTATGTGTATAGTTATCTAGGAATTTTCCAACTCCTGATTAGAAAACTAACTTAATCAACAATATCTTAACTGATACTGAAAATTAATCATTAATCAGGTGTACAGCATGCCAACCTACCAATCAATGGAGATGGTAGATCTTGATAATAAGCTTCTAAACCCACAAAATAATACATCATCGCCCAAGAGGACAGACTCGTGTTTATAGTCAATTGACTTAATTCACGTAATTTTAAGCATAATTTAATGATGTATGATATATGGGTGAGCAAGGAATTTGCCTCCAACATGTTTTTAATATTTGAAGCTTTGTTGTATAGACTCAAATGAGTTGGGATATCATGTCACATAAATGAATGGAAAAAGCAACATAAATTAATGATAAGAAATTAATTAGACTTTGTTTAGATTGGAAATGGATCCACCCACCAGACAAATTCGGACCCAGCCAAGTTGTAAACTGTAAGGAAGTCGGATCCCAACATTGAAATGGTTGCAGGCATTGTAGCCTTGTACCTTGTGTGTGTGGGTGCAGTTTTAGCTGTACCTCTTTGTCTGTGTCAACCTAGACAGAGTTGGCCATCGTGCACCGTACGAGCTTTACAAGCGGGTGGGTTTTATTTCTCATTTTAAAATTATTAAAACAGAAAAAAGAGGACAAAGCTCGTCGATAATAATTATAAAAAAATAAAAAAGGAAGAGAGAGAGAGAGACCGTATACGGAAGAGGACCATACGGCTTCTCCGACACACCCACGGATCGCTCTGTATGGGCATAGGACCCACCTACTTTTCAGCCATCCTCACTCTCTCTCTCGTTTATGTTGTAACCTATCCCCCTTCGCGTGAAATGACTAATATACCCTTCTGTGAAATTTCGAGGGACCAAACTAGCCTTGGAGTTGGTGGTAGCTGTTCATGGTTGTGGTAGTCGAAGCTCATTTTTTATTTTGACGTTGGGTGACATCTTGTGTTTCTTTTACCATAAAAGAACTAATCATTGATATTTGAATGAGGAAATTCAAAATGGATGAATACTACTTTATTTTTTATGTTGGATGATATTTTGTGTTTTTTTTAATTATAAAAAATAACTAATCATTCGTTTTTAAATAAGAAAATACAAAATAAATGAATTCTAGTTTCTTACTTTTCGTATCACAATATGAGAAGTTATATAGACACATAATAAATGAGATACATTTTTAAGTTTACTAAGAAATTCTCGAGGGATCTTCTTCAAAACTTCAATGATAAATTAATTTACTCTTTTAAATTCAATCAAAATTCAACCCCAATGCATAACCTTGATAAAATTAAGCATAAGTAAAGTAATCCAATCTCAACAAGACTTTGTTTTTGTTTTTTTTGTTTTTAAAGTAAAATTTGCTTCCTCACTTATCCTAGCGTCAATCTTCTAAAACACCAAAAGACATAAATTACTACTTTGTTGTTGAACTTTGCATATCGGTAAAAGTTATTGAATAAGAGGGCTTTTAAATTCACTGAGGGACAACGATTTGAGAATCAAATGGTAACTTATGTGTAGTCATCATAAGTTGATGACAAAATAAAAAAAATTATAGTCAAGACATTACCAGTTACTATTAGTAATCTTTTCCTCTAAATTTATGAACAAAATTACTAATGAGTAAAATGCTACTAACTTTAAAATAAACTTCAACATTTTGCAATCAATTTTGTTTCACTTATTCATATGAATCCAATATCACCCCTTAATTTTTATTTATCTTTTTAAAACCAAGGATATTATCTAGGGCTGAATATTCAGATCGGTAACTCGGTAAAACTGCCCAAACCAAATTGATGGTTTGGGTTGGTTTGGTTTTTTTTCAATTTTTTTTAGTCATCGGTTTGAATCCAAACTAAACCAAAATATATGATTCGATGTACAGTTTGCAATATCCAAAATCACGGTTTAACCAAATCAAACCGGTGATATTAAAAAAATATTATATATAATACATATTTTTAAGAAGTTAAAAAATAATAAAAAATTGGCTTTTGTTGTTGGGCATGCCAACACACATGCCTAATTGATTTTTTTTTACCCCGAACACACGCATGCATCTTGTCTTCTCTCTCCATCTCTTCGTCTGTCTTGTCTTCATCAGTCCCTCTCTCTCTATTTTTTTTTTCTCTTTCTTCTTATGTCTATCTTCACTCTCTCTTTTTTTCTTTTCCTTCTTATTCTTCTCTCTTATTATTCTTCTTCTTCTCTATCTCTCCCTCTTTTTTTTTTTTTTTTTTCTTCTCCTCTCCATCTCTCCCTCTCTCCATTGATTTTATTTCCTCTCTCTCTAAGAAAGCCAAAAAAACCCAAATGGCACCAAATCAACTCAAAGTCCGGTTAATCGAAATGGTTGGTTTTCATCAATTATGGTTTGGTTCTAGCTTTTCAAATAACCAAACCGAGATCTATGATTCGGTGTTCGGGTTGAACCCAAAACCAAACTAACCCAAACCAAACCCACCACTAATATTATCACTAAAATGTGGAAAAAAGAGAAAGAAAAGCTTATGGGGTCTTTTAGTTTGCTCATTCCAAGAGTAAAAGACGGGTAGCCATGCAAGGAAGACAACTCAAAAAGTCTAAAAAGCAAGAGGTAATTTTGGCTTTGTGATACAAATGAGAAGAGGAGGGTAAAAAAGGAAATTCAAATAGGTAGAGGTCATAATCAACAAGGATCCAGTTTGTCCCCTCAGAAGTGGATCTTCGCACGTTAGGAATGGTGTTTGTAGAGAAGCTGTGAGTTTTATGGAGAGAGAGAGAGATGAGAGAAGAAGAGCCAGCTCCTTCATTGCATATGCTTTCACTGCTCCAACAACAACAACAACCCAATTCAACTTAACTCAACCGACTCATTCTCTTCTCTCTCTACAGTCTTCCCCTGTTTTTGTTTGTTAGCTTCGCATTATTACAAGCTCTCAACTTTTTCTCACTTAGTTTCTCTTTAACTATTATAGCCTTCACCACCTCAGGTTTTTCTTTTCACTTTGCCATACCCATGTGTGGTTTTGGCCTTGGAAACTCAAAAACCTTCGTTTTAGAACTACTTTTTTCCATTCAAATGGTGGTTTTCTCTGTTTCCTTGAGTTCTTTTTGTCTGAATATACAGATTTGAGATTTTTGAACAAAGACGACTCCTTTTGTCCAAAAACATGTTTATTGGCTTGAAAAAAATGAACTTTATTCTCAGCTTCTGCTTCATCAAACCATTCTGTACTTTGATTTTGTAGTTCTATCTGAAAAGTTTTTAAAATTGTGCATGAAAATCGATGATTTCGAAATGTAGGTTTATGAGGAAAAATAATACTTTAAGCTTGCAAGTTGTACTTGTTTCCGTACTGGGTCATCTTGAAATTCAAGATTTGCACGAAATTTGGAGGCTTTTTGTGACTTGAAGAGTCCAAAAGGGGGTTGAGATTTTATGGTTTTGATGAGTATTGGCTCTGACCCATGAAGAATTTTCACTGGTTTAAGCAGATTTCCAACAATGGCAAACCTGAGAGGAGGCTCTCTCTCGGAGAGTACAACAGGGCAGTGTCATGGTCAAAGTATTTGGTGTCTTCAGGGGCTGAGATTAAGGGTGAAGGGGAGGAGGAGTGGAGTGCTGACATGTCCCAATTGTACATTGGGTGTAAATTTGCTTCAGGGAGACACAGTAGGATTTACAGAGGGGTTTATAAGCAGAGGGATGTGGCAATTAAGCTCATAAGCCAGCCTGAGGAGGATGAAGGCTTGGCTGTTTTGCTTGAGAAGCAGTTCACTTCTGAGGTGGCTTTGCTCTTTCGGCTGCACCATCCAAATATCATCTCTGTAAGCTCTGTTTCCACAATGGTTAATGGTTAATGGTTATGCTCTCTCTCTCTCTCTCTCTCTCTCTCTCTCTCTCTCTCTCTCTCTTGTTAGGTTATGGTGTTGTTGCTTGTCTTTTCAGTTCCGTAGAAAAGAAGATTGTCGTCCTGGTTTATGTTTGTTGGTCAATGGACATGCACTTTTTCAATTTTCCTGCTTCTGCTTAATTTTGTAATCTTTGGTCTATTGAAAACCTGAGATCCTTCCCCAGTTCCTTGATGCCTTTTAACCTTGCACGCTAAGATTTTTCTGAAAGAAAGCAGTAGAAAAAGCTTCTGCATAATGTTAGAGAGATGCTCATCTCCTGAGGCATATGCACGAGTCATCGTTGAGTCATCGATTGATTGTTACAGATTCCCTGCTTAAGAGCTTTCCATCTTAATAAATTCTATTAGGCTGAGTATGTTTTTTTGATATTTGGGTTGGCAGTGTGGAGAAACTATTTGCATCTCTTACCTGTCTTATTGGTATCACGTATATTCTGGAAAATTGGAATCAGTCCTCTTAACTTGTTGATGTTGGAACGGTAGCTGTCTCTTTGTGCTCTCTGACCTTCATGTACCAATTTTATTCTGCAGTTTGTTGCAGCTTGTAAGAAACCTCCTGTTTTCTGCATTATCACCGAGTATTTGTCCGGGGGATCGTTGAGAAAATATCTCCATCAGCAGGAGCCGCATTCTGTTCCACTAAGCCTAGTTGTGAAGCTAGCCCTCGACATTGCACGTGGGATGCAATATCTCCATTCTCAAAGTATACTTCACAGGGATCTCAAGTCAGAAAATCTATTGCTAGGGGAAGATATGTCTGTGAAAGTTGCAGATTTTGGTATCTCATGCTTAGAATCACAGTGCGGCAGTGCAAAGGGATTCACGGGCACTTACCGTTGGATGGCACCTGAAATGATCAAAGAGAAACACCATACGAAGAAAGTTGATGTTTACAGTTTTGGCATAGTTCTTTGGGAGCTTTTAACAGCATTGACACCATTTGACAACATGACTCCTGAACAGGCTGCATTTGCAGTATCACAGAAGGTATTTTCCGTAACAAGACCTTTTAGTTATCATTATCAATGAAACATTGATACCTAACAGGCTTGTGATATTCGATTGTAGCAAGCATAAGTGTACACGTTTAAAATGATGCTAATGTATCCATTATTGAGATATTGGAATCTTGAGTTATAGGATATGAAGACTGTTACAAAAGCATAGAAACAGAGAATGATAGTGTTTAGTAAGGTACAAATTTAAAAAACACAGTTTCTAATTGCCACCTTGTATGAGCTTCTAATTGGTAGACTGACTGCTTGAATAGCTCTCATGTGTAGTGATGTTTTTGAGAAGTAGTCTTTCTGCGTGTCTTAAAAAACTCCTAAATATCAGTCCTTCCACTTGACAACAATAGATAAAGTCTTAAATTTCCATGCAGTAAAAGTAAATATGCCATATTGGAAATTACAATTTGTCAGCTATCCTTTTGAGGTTCTAGCCTTCTTGATGCATCTACTAGACCTGCATCTTTCTCACATGCATCATAAGTGGGTGAGCGACAATCATTTATATGCTTGTCCTTGTATTATCCAGATCATGTGGGGACCTGCTGCTTTGGCCATCCTTATCCAAGCAGGAAATGATATCCTCCCAAATCGAAGAATTATATTAAATCCGTTAGCTTTTTTGTTGTTGATAAGATATGTTAAAGCACTGATAAGCATGCACTAATACGGGTACACATCCGAAGGATGTTGTGGAGAGTAACTTCATCATTTTCTTAATCACCTACTACCAAAAAGAAGCACACTGATATCAAACATTTCTGTTTCAGTTTTTGCCGTCAACGTCTTGCATCTGTTTATGAGTTTGTGGAACAAATGGAAACTTTATCTGTTAAAGCTGTTTGAATTCACATCACACTTGCCATCTTGCATTCACACTTGCCACTCCTGTAAACTGGTTTTGTTGCTATGCTTGAAATTTTTTAACATGAAGCTGATGTGTTTTGGAGTTGCACGTCTCCTTTTGGTTTAGAAACGCCTAGAATGTAATGCACTTGGCTGTGCTTATGATTCCCATAAAAAGTCTAGTGCTTTGTGTAAACAATGAACCACTTGAAACTTTTTAACATGAAGCTGATGTGTTTTGGAGTTGCACGTCACCTTTTGGTTTAGAAACTCCTGGAATGTAATACACTTGGCTGTGCTTATGATTCCCATAAAAAATCTAGTGCTTTGTGTAAACAATGAACCACTTGAAAGAGTAAAATGTGCTGGAATTATTGCAAATGTCAGAATCTTGTGGTTTACAGCTACAACTTGTCATTCCAGTCTGGTTGCAGGAAACTGGGAAAGAGAAGGGGAACAAGAGATTAGAAATGAAGATGAGATTAGTCTAACATATCAGAAGCTGCATTAATTATTTGAAACTTTGTCGGGTTGATGTGGTTTTATTTTGATATGAATCCTGCACTGGTCAAACGAATATGCTGTGATCTTCCATGGAATCCATGTGTAGTTATATCTGCTGAATTTTGTGCAGAATGCAAGACCCCCTTTGCCATCCACATGCCCGATGGCATTTAGTCGTCTCATCAGCAGATGTTGGTCGACTCATCCAGAGAAGCGACCTCATTTCGATGAGATAGTTCAAGTATTGGAAAGTTATGCAGAGTCCCTTGAGCAAGACCCAGATTTTTTCTCATCTTACAAGCCTCCTTCAGATCACACCCTTTTGCGATGCTTTCCAAAATGGATCGGTCGCCATAGATCCGCTTCTTGAAAATCTAGGGAAATTTTTTTCTTGAATCAAGTGATTGATGTTGAATGTACCATATGCTTTTCTTGTCAAGGTTCCCATCCTCATACAATTACGATTGTGAACCGTTCTCTTTGTGTCTTGTTAACTTTCTATCTTTGAATATATTGGAATGAAAGCACTACTTTTAAATTGGTGTTTTAACTTTTAATCCAACTACTTTAACATCATCTATGATTGATTTACAATAATGCAACATATTCATCGTGCTTTCTTATCTGTTCTACTCAAATTTGATGTGAAATATGGTGAATGCGACAATCAATAGAAACTTCTAAAACCAGTGCCTCTCCATCATTCCTGATGCACTGCCGCACTTGGGACAGTTTTGGCATGTGTATAGATTGGGCCAAACTTTGGTAGCCAAATTTATTGTATGTCGTTGGTTATAATATCATCTCACTTACAATAGTATGTGAACGTCACATGCTGTCACAATATAAGTGCATACACAAATTCTTTGAATTGTTCTTTCAATACCAACCGCCTCTTTGTTTAATGGTACTTCTCTTCTAGAAAATAGAAGATGTTGCAAATTCGAATCTCTTTACTTGTTGATCATAAAAGGAAAATTGTTCACCCAAATGTTTTCTTTCACTTCAATATACAATTTGAATTACTAGTCTTACAAAACGATATTGGAGGAGGAGGGCAATCGAACACAAGATCGCAAATGTTTTCTTTCACTTCAATATACAATTTGAATTACTAGTCTTACAAAATGATATTGGAGGAGGAGGGCAATCGAACACGAGATCGCTGGTGTATGGGTAAGCTCCATACAAATTGAAGAAAAGGGCAGTCCAAGTCCAACGACAAAATAGATAATTTAAGCGATCTTATCCCAAAAGGAGACCAAAAGTAATGGCCCAACATCCAATGCTAGACCTGATGATAAGATATGTAGATTATCAAAGTAAATCCGCCTGGCCCAATATTAAATTAATTAGAAGTCATCTAGGTACCCAATTTATAGATTATTCGTGACACAATATCTCAAGCGACAGTTTGGCCGAGTGGTCTAAGGCGCCAGATTTAGGCTCTGGTCCGAAAGGGCGTGGGTTCAAATCCCACAGCTGTCATTCTTTTTGGTGTTTTTTCTTTTTCTGTTTGTTTTTTGAACAAAATTATAAGTGGTTCATTGCTGGCTTACCTAACAAACAAACAACCACAGATTCGCTGTAAATATGCCCACATCAAGGATGAGCTAAAAATGCTTGTATATTAGGTGTCATTTTTGTGTACCTTCTTTTCCTTTAACAACTCAATTGGGAGATTAATGGATTGTAATCTGTTCCTTGTTGGCTTACCTAACAAACAAATAACGATATCATCAAAGTTTAAACAAAGTAAGGGGTTTTAGCCTTTACGAAACTCCAACCAATACCAATGGATCAAGGTGAAAACAAAAAAACTCATAAAAACATGTGTACTTAATAAAGAATTGGGTCCAATTTTTGTTAGGTTAATGTTAGGGGGCGAAGATGGAGTGAAGTGAGAACCTTAAACAAAAAGGACAGAAATATGTAAAGAGACCCCCATCTGGTTGGTTGGTTGTAATGATAAGATAAACAATAGATCACTTTCTACTTACTACTAGGTGGTCCAAGTGTCCAAGGTGTTGAATATTTTGACCCATGAGTGGTTGAGTAGGTTTGCCTTTGGTTCTTGTGGGATAATTGTCTCTTACTTTGTAACAAGCCCCATTTGGGGGGGGTATTATTATAGAACTTTTTTGCATCAATCAAAACCTAGAGCATTGTGAAGCTCGTTTACCCCAGTGATTATTTCAGAAGCTAATGCACCTTCACTCTCCCAATTTGTCTCCTCACGAGATTATTGTAGCTTTTGGGCATCTTAAATTCCCAAAGTTACTCTAGTTGAGGAGAGATGGTACTTTGATGCTTATTTGAGTATTGCAGAGGAAGTTAGTGGTTGTGCTCTTTTTCTTGATGGCATTGTCCCCTTCTCGAATTAGAGGCAATTTTGCCGATTGCTGGGTCCAATTTGGCACCGATTTCCTTGATGTTTATGTTATGTATGTTTTATTTGGTTGGCTTCTAGTGAGCTGATTTCATTGTATTTTATTTGGCCTTTGTGCTTGAATTGTAATGTTATGGCCTTTGCTATCATGGCTATTTATTGCTTCATGTGCTATAGTAGTTTTTCATTCAATGCACTGTTCACGAATGGAGCGCAAACAAATTAAATCCAATGCAGGACCAACATTGTCAAATGCGTGAAGAAGAGGCCAAAACATCAAGCTGAGGTAGAAGAAAAACATAGACCTCACCAAAATTTGAAGCTCTCACTTTCTATCTCGTCGATTTGCGATTTAACACACATTGACAGAATTCAATGAAGATCATTATTGTATAACTTTCTCCTGTTGTACCGACATGTTAGAACCAGCTTGGTGATCAAGTTGAGAAGAAGAAAAGTAACTTCAAGAATAACGACCCTTTGTCCATAAAAAACCTACATCCCACCCAAAAACTAAAAATAAAAAGTGAAAACCAATACCGAAATAGGAAAATAAAACACCGGCCATTTCTCATTGTCTTTCAAAGGGCATAACTGTCTTTCGACGCCTACAAACCACATCAGAACGCCACGTGGAAAGCTTCAGTTTAAATTAGAGTCCCGGAAAAGAACAAAACAAATCGGCATTTCGGCAGTTGCAGGACGCGCGGGTCGGTGGGGAAGATTTCGCCTTCTCTCTTCCCCTTCGATATTCCAAAGTCTGCAACTTTCAACAATTTTCTTTTTAATTCCATTTTTTAAAGATTAAATCTTTTTCCTTTTGACATTTCCCCATTTTGCCTCTATCTCTGTCTTCTTCATCTTATTCACCCCCCACCATAAAAAAGATAAATTATTTTGATATTTCCTCCATTACCTTATATATATACGCTTACGCATTTTTATTGAGACCCAGATTACACAATCCCCTTGGCGTCGTTTTGTCATGGTAGATTGATTGTTCAGGTATGGCTATCCATTTCTTCTTTGTGTATGTTGTTGTTTCAGCTCAACCCATTATATGTTTTCCCTTTTGGTATTTTTTGGATTACTTTCAGAGGTCAACTGCACAAGAACGTGATGTTGTTGTTGATGGGTTCGTGTTGTTTATCCATGTTATTGGTTTTAATCGTTGTCATGTTTCAATTCTGTGATGGGTTGTATGTAAAACGTATTTATGTTGGTTGATTGTTTGTACATGTTTGTAAAGATCTGATGAGGGCACTTTCAGCTATTGTTCATTGTTTCCTTTCATTTGCAAATATAAATTTTGCATTTTTGTAGGTTATTACTTGATATGTTCTTCTTAAGTTTGTGGGTGAACATACAAGTTTTCAAAAGAAAATTTCTGAAATTCCCAGACATGAATTTTTTTGGATATTGTTAATGCATTTTGCTTTCTGTTCAAGGTTATTTCAATATCTGTCAACTGTAGATTTGTGTAGTATGTATGCATTTGAACTCTGCGAAAGTTATCTGCTTCGGTTATTTGGATTTGTTTGTAACAGTTGTTTCGTATTTTCCTTTTCTTTTTTGAATGAAACATTTGTTGCAGACAAGTGAGATTTTGTTGATTTGGGTACGTCGAGATGCCTGGAATTGTTGAAGATGTTGTACATGAATCGAATGGAAATTCCATGCCTAATAAGGAAAACCCAGCTCTGAATGGCTTCCCAAAGGGTACTATGAGTCAGCAAAGTCCTGGGAGTACAGGACCTGATCGTCCAGTTGATGGGGTGGTTGACACCTCAATTGAGCAGCTTTATGAGAATGTGTGCGATATGCAGAGTTCTGATCAGTCACCCTCAAGACGTAGTTTTCGATCGGATGGTGAGGAGTCTAGGATTGATTCGGAGTTACACCATCTTGTTGGAGGAGAGATGAGAGAGGTGGAGATAATGGAAGAGGAAGTGCTACAAAAGCCAGCGTATGATTCTCGTAGTGATTCAAGTCTTAAGAAGGAAGCTTCGTCCTCGGATAGAAAACCAGTAAAGATGGATAAATCTGCAAGTACAAAATCCACTTCTTCAGGGAACTCTAAGAAAGTTGCTCACTTGCAGGTGGACACTGAAACTTCATCAAAACCAGTGTTGAAGGGAAGAAGTCCTGATAAACCTCCCATTTATGGGGTTAGTGATAAGAATCCACAAAAACAACATGCAGGACCCACTTCTGTGAAGAAACGCAGGAATGCATCTTCAGGAGGGTCAAAGTTGCAGATTGGAACTGAGGATGTGGCTGAATCAGGATTAAACAATCCGGATCTTGGGCCATTTTTGCTTAAGCAAGCTAGGGATTTGATTTCTTCAGGGGATAATCCCCAGAAGGCTCTTGAATTAGCTCTTCGAGCTGCAAAATCATTTGAATTATCTTCAAATGGGAAACCCTGTTTAGAGCTAGTAATGTGTTTGCATGTTACATCGGCGATTTATTGTAGCTTAGGCCAGTACAGTGAGGCAATTCCTGTTCTCGAGCGCTCAATTGAGATTTCAGCTATTGAGGAAGACCAAAATCATGCCCTTGCTAAATTTGCTGGCCACATGCAGTTGGGTGATACTTATGCTATGCTGGGCCAACTTGAGAATTCAATTATGCATTACACAAGTGGATTGGAAATCCAAAGACAAGTTTTGGGAGAAACAGATGTAAGAGTGGGTGAGACTTGTCGGTATCTGGCTGAAGCTCATGTTCAAGCACTGCAATTTGATGAGGCTCAGAGGCTTTGCCAAATGTCTCTTGACAGTCATAAAGAGAATGGTTCCCCAGCTTCTCTGGAAGAGGCAGCAGATAGGAGACTGATGGGTCTTATATGTGAAACGAAGGGAGATCATGAAGCTGCTCTTGAGCACCTTGTTTTAGCCAGCATGGCTATGGTTGCACATGGCCAGGAAGTGGAGGTGGCTTCCGTCGATTGCAGCATTGGAGACACGTACTTATCTTTGTCTCGGTATGATGAAGCTACTTTTGCTTATCAGAAGGCACTGACTGTGTTTAAGACCACCAAAGGAGAGAACCATCCATCTGTTGGTTCAGTCTTTATCCGTCTGGCTGATCTGTATAACAGGACCGGGAAAGTTAGAGAATCAAAATCATACTGTGAGAATGCCCTTAGAATTTATGAAAAGCCCATGCCTGGAGTCCCTCCTGAGGAGATGGCAAGTGGTCTCACAGATGTTTCTGCTATATATGAATCAATGAATGACCTTGAGCAGGCAGTCAAGTTGCTACAGAAGGCGTTAAAAATATACAATGATGCCCCTGGTCAGCAAAGCACAATTGCCGGGATTGAAGCTCAAATGGGGGTCATGTACTACATGTTGGGGAATTATTCGGAGTCTTACGACTCCTTTAAAAGTGCAATTTCAAAGCTCCGTGCAACTGGAGAGAAGAAAACTGCCTTTTTTGGGATTGTTCTTAACCAAATGGGGCTTGCTTGTGTACAACGTTATTCCATAAATGAGGCTCAAGAATTCTTTGAAGAAGCCAGGACTGTCTTGGAACATGAGTGTGGGCGGTATCACCCTGATACACTTGGGGTTTATAGCAATCTTGCTGGCACTTATGATGCAACTGGCAGGTATCGTCATTCTTTATCTTTTCCTACCACCAGTGTCATCTTCAATCTTCATTATGCATGATTTTTTTCTTCTCTTGGTAATCCTGTTTTTTCAAATGATCAATTGGGTTTCCACTTGCTTTATGTTTCTTATTTTCATTTGTCCATGCGAGGTGGTAGCGATACAATTCTGAATGTTAAGGGCTGATATCTGTTTCTTGTTCCTTTTTCTTACGCTGAACGCCTGACAAGTTTAACATATGCAGCCCTTCCTCTCCTTTTTGGACTTTTTGTTGAAAACCAAGTTATTAGAACATTGTTCTGACGGACTATTTGGGGAAAAAGAACTCGCTAAGCTGTAGAAGTTTTTGTAATTTATTGCTCTTTAGTCTTTTGGAAGAGATAATTTTTAGTTGGATGCAAAATTATTGCTAATTAGGCATTTTGAGTGAGACAGTTTACAAATTATCTTGTTATTAACCCAGGTTGGAGGATGCAATTGAAATCTTGGAGTACGTAGTTGAGATGAGAGAAGAAAAACTTGGGACAGCTAATCCTGATGTAGACGATGAGAAAAGAAGGTTGGCTGAGTTACTGAAAGAAGCAGGCAGAGTTCGGAGCAGAAAAGCCAGATCACTAGAGAACCTCCTTGATGCCAACTCCCACGGTATAAGCAATGATGGTGTTAAGGTATGAAAAGAACGGCAATATTTGGGAAACAGGATGTAATATAGGACATATTTAAGAAGAAAAAGATAGAATAACCCAAGAATGAAGAAGAAACAGTCGTTGGGTGTGTTGATAAGATTCTTGTTGTGTAGGGTGCATGAAATAAACTGAGGCTGGGGTTTTGGTTATATTATTACCTTATAATATACTGTATGGCCGAAGTTTATATTATTTTGTCACACTATTTATGTAATTGGATGTACCAAGATTAGTACCAAATTCATCATCATTTGTAATACGACATTCAAGAATCATAGATTTGTTTAACACTGCTACAGTCTGAAGATTTATCTTTTGATGTATCCAATTATTCAGGATCTATGATGACATAAAATTTGGGACCCCAGTTGCAACTTGCAAGCCAATAATTTGATAATCTTGAAAAATAGATCTCTGGTGTTGGTGAGCAGTTGCTGTTTGCTGTCTAGTCTCTACCTTTTATATGTTTAATGCAATTATTGTACTTTTGGAGCAAAAAAATTATGATTTTTCCACTCTGCCAGGCTTTTGATAATTTAGATTGTCGTCAAGAAATGTCAACGGTTTGTTTTCAAGATCCCAGGTTTGCATTGAGAGAAACTCTCATACAACAGGGATATCACTTTTTGTTATTCTCGATTAATAACGTGATGACACGTAAGATAACTTTTCCATGTGTCATTGTGTTATTGACAAGGGATAGCAAAACAGCAAAAGGGCAGAAAGTGAGAAGATTTGTGAGGGCAAATCTACACACCTCTTGTATAGTTTCTCCAGAAAAAATAGCTAGATTTGCGAACCTAAAGCCACCATGAAACTCCAACTCATACTGCTAGCTGTGATTTGTTCTCCATCACAACAGACAACTTAACATTACATTTAAGAGAGGTGGATAGTTAACTTTGGTGGACCACTGCCTTGGTTTTCATTGCATGCAGGAGTTCTTCTTGTCTCTCTCTCTCGTTCCTTTTTTTTTTAGAGGGCTTGACATCATTTTGGTGACAATGTGTTATACAGCATTAAACTATCTGGAAAAGATTTGACATAAAAATATTGTGAAATTAGGTATTGGGTATGTGCCTAGGTTGATGTTGTGTTACATCCAATCCAGCCAGGTGTCTAGGTTAGACAAGATTTGAAAATTAATCTTTGATGGGTCAATCGCTCTTTATGGTTGGGGTGGGGGGTATACCAGTGTGGCCCTCTCCCACCCCAGCAGTAGGGTGGGGGATGTCTCTCCCTTTGTCTCCAGACAATTCCTCTCTGTACTGGTCCTACTGGAGATTGTCACGACCGTTTATAACTTCGATTTTTTCAGGCTTATGTTTCTCGGATGAAGTCCATGCTTCTGTTTCTTATTAAACTATGGCCGAGCACTTAAAAGTGTATTTTAAATGGCTTCCAGAACACATTGGTATCTGTGGGCTGCACCTTTCCAATCTGTGGTCTGCACATAATGACAACTTAACTGCTTAACAGTTGTCATTGATAATTTTATATGCACAGTAAAGTACACTTCACCTAATGACAAAGAATGCTTAATGCTCTATGTACAATGTTGCTAGTGATTTGTTTAATTTGCCTTCCCTTCGGTGGCTGGGAACACACTTAAGTTTTCACATAAATAAACGCATTCTTGAGAATTTTTCGAAAATTAATCTCATAAACATCCAATTCAGAAAACTATTTAAGCTCCAAATGGCTGCACTAGATCTTTAGAAACAAGTCTTCAACCCACAGGTTGGGATGTACCATCACTAGCCACTCCAATTGAGAAAGCATCAACCACTGCCATAGAGGTTGAGAAACACCTAACATGAAGCAACAATGAGAACTGAACGCTGCCCTGCAGTTGAAGCAAATAGACTTGTTAGCGGTTCTTGAACTCCAATCTATTAACTAAGATGCAACTTAAGTTTCAAGCTTTCAACTGAGAGATCTCCTTCAACTTCCCCTCCCACATCCCCCACTCGATCCCACAAAAGAAAGAAAAACTTTTACCTTGTTTCCTCAGCACATGGTTCATTTCATTTCCATCTCTTCTCAGTTTGCTGAATCGTAACATAATTGGATGGCGTGGCGCCACTTGCTGCAACTGGCAAAACTGCTGGCTGCAAAACAATGTCACCAAACACCCACTTAGAGACCAGACTCAAGCATCCTTGAGAAAGTAAAAAATATTTTCCTACAATCTCTGGGATCATAACGTTTTTTGTTTAAAAATACAATTAAATCCTAAAACTTACTCTGGAAATGCTCCCAAAATAGGGCCAATCAGTTGCAAAGATAGATGAATGGCTCTCACTAATAATTTCATTGCTGGAATGTAGGCCATTGAATGGAAATTATCTCAATCCTCCTCAATCACTCCAAAGTTCCCAACAGTAAATCGGTTCCTCTCTATTAAAAGCAACATGGGTTAACAATTGACTGAGAATCATCCGATCATCATTTTCGTTGAAACTTTTTGGTTATTCTTTCTACTTGCCACTGGAAACAGCAAATCGTCGTCCTTAATTGATATAAGATTTTCATTACTAACCTCATCAAGCCCAACACTTACAGTCAATGGTTGAGGAATATATCCTGCCTTCCTTGTTTCACTTGTTAAACTTTCAATTGTTGTATATATCTCCTCGGACTGATTATGAGACTTATCACCTGCAGTAAATATATGAACATTACTATCCACTTCAATCCAACTACAGCCAGGCGTCTTCTTGAGTCCCATGCCTCTGATATCTGATCTAATCCTAGTAACTTCATTCCGTTTCCCGTAATCTTCATACAAGTTTGCAAGAAGGGTACGGTAACCGATACTAGTAGGATCCAGTTCAAAGATATGATCAGCTACAATTTCTGCCAGTCTTTCATCACCATGAATTTTGCATGATCCGAGCAATGATCCCCATATACGATCATCTGGGCCACAAGGCATTGTCAAAATAATATCATATGCATGGCTAAGATGCCCAGCTCGGCCTAAAAGATCAACCATGCAGGTGTACTGTTCAAGTTGAGGTTCAATTTTGTAATCTTGAACCATACGTTTAAAATATTTCAATCCCTCTTCAACCCTCCCTGCATGACTGCATGCAGACAATAGAGCTGTAAAAGTGGCATGGTTAGGCTTCATTCCTGCTGCTTCCATTCTTTCAAATAAACCAAATGTTTCATCCGCATGGCCATGCATTCCTAACCCCAAAAGAATTGAATTCCATGATACTTCATTTCTTTCAGGCATTTTCTCAAATATAGCCCATGAGCTACTTATGTCTCCACATTTTGCATAAGTAGTTATTAGAGAATTGCTCACAAGAATATTGGACTCAAATTCTTTTCGTAATAGGTAACCATGAACCTCCTTGCACAATATCATGACTGACAACTGAGCACAAACTGACAGAATACTTGCAATTGTCACAGCATTGGGTCTAACTTTTTCAAATTGCATGTCAAGGAACGCCTTTAAAGCTTCATCTGGACACTCATTCTGAGTATATCCAGATATCAAGGCATTCCATGATACCAAATCTCTAGCTGGTAGTCTATAAAAGACTTTTTGAGCTGACTCGATGTCTTTGCATTTAGCATACATATCAACCAAGGCCCCACCAACAAAAACATCTGAATCAAACCCCAATTTTACTACTAGTCCATGGATTTCCACGCCTCTAGTCTTAGCAGTCAAGGAAGAACAGGCTCGTAGAACAGCCAAGATTATGACAGAATCGACAAACCCATATTCTAATATATAGTTATGGAACAGGTTCAATGCCTCATCAGGACGACTACTTTGAGCAAAATTTGAGATGATAGCTCCCCACATGACCATGTTACGATTTAGAGATCTTTGGAAGATTTCAAGACCAGCCTTGCCATCACCGCATTTGAAATACATGTCCATGAGAGCAGTTTCGACTCTAGCATCATTGTTCAATTGAATGCCAAAACAGAATTTATGCATTTGCCTTCCGAATGCTAAATCCAACATCTGTGAGCACAAAACTATAACGGCAACCATTGTGGAAGTATCTGGTGACAACCCAATTGACAACATCTCTAGGAAAACCTCCACTGCGTGTGACAAACACCCATTAGAGACATAACCCGAGATCATCACATTCCATATGACTGGATTCCCTCTGATCGACTCTTCATTAATAATGCTCCTAAAAACATATTCCGCATTCTTCACATCCCCACATTTCATGTACATATCGATTAACCCACTAACCAAGAACTGATCAGTATCTATCTCCCTTTTCACAACAAACCCATGGAGTTCTCTTCCATGAACTAAAGACTGAACTGAAGAGCAGGACGTGAGAGCTGAAAGGCAAGCTACCCGATTCGGCAACACCCAGTGATCATGGATCATTCGACTAAACATTCTCAACGAACCCATGTAATCTCCCGAATGACAGAGGCCAGATATCATTGTATTCCATGAAACCAAATCCCTCTTACACATTTTCTCAAACATCTGAACTCCATCCTCAATTGCTCCGCATTTCCAATAAACACCCAAAAGAGAATTGACATCATAAACATCATCTAAAACTCCTAATTTCAACACATGCCCATGAATCTCCCTAGCCTTGCCTACATCAGAAAGCCCCCCAAAGGCCTTAATCAAACACGGAAAGAATCGAAATTCCTCAACAGGCAAACCAAATTCAAGCATTTTAACATAAATCGTTATTGCATCTTCGCAATTCCCATCCTCCACATACTCCTTAATCAGCTGACCAGCCGACAAAACTTCGTCTAGGGAAGAATCCCTCGAAAGCCCGCGTCCCAAAATTGATGGGTTTTGCAGGAATTGTACTTTAGAACAAAAAGTATGAAACTTGGAGCTTAAAGATACCAGGCAAGGCTTACTTGCACCCCTGAGCTTGTACTGTAACGCCTCGGATGGTCTTAACGGGTTGTGCTGGTGCAGACCATGACCGTAAGTATGAACCGAGTAGAAGTCTAGTGGTCTAGCAACTGCCATTCTCTCTGGTCCCAAGGTCTCAGAAACCTCACCGGAACGGAAGAAACACTTCCACGAGAACGAGGACTCAAACTGAAAATGTTATCCGGCTCGAAACGATGTCGTGCAAAGGGGTGGAATTTGATGTGAACTGTACGTAAATACGGCGTCGTTGTAATTTAGGGCTTAGAATTGGTTATTGAATGACTTAAATACCCTTCGCGGGACAATCTCGCCGCTCTTCCTTCTACCCAAAGCCTACTAAGCTCAAAAAGCTTCTAATCGCCGATAACTCGTCAAAAACTCGCACGATTCCGTAATTGAATGGCAGAAAAAGCGTCCGGTTCGCCGGCGAGCTTCGTCGACCAATCAGTAGTAAGAACTTCTCTTCCTATTTACCCTCCGGTAATCATTTCTTTTTCATTTATGTGATTTTCAATTTCTTGTTGTTTAGGTTCCAGGCGATGTGGTTCTTGACCTCACCAGCATGGTTAACCAGACCATCAAGCTCGGCGGTGGTCTTCGCCAGGTCTCTCTCTCTCTCTCTCTCTCTCTCTCTGTGGTGACTATAAGGACACATATGGCTGTCAATATCTCCATTATATACTTTTTAAAATTAAAAATTAAAAAATTCAGGATTGTGATGCAATAGCTGCGATGAAGGCTGGGACTTTGAAGTTTTCAAAACCAAACAAATATTGGGTCGAAACCTCTCAGAAAAGGGTATGCGTGTTTCCCTCCACATTCACTATTTTAAAAACAAAAATCTTTCATTTGTTTTTCATGTAAGTTGCAATTTTAATTTTGGTGGTTTGTGCAGTATGTGCCTTGTGCGGGGGATTCTGTTCTTGGAATTGTGGCGGACTCTAAAGCAGATGTAAGAGCTTGAATGTGTCCTTATTGCTTTAGGTGATTATTGGTTCATTGGTGCCAGCTTCTTGCTCATGAATTTGTTTTGTTTTTCCTTGTTTGGGTTTAGAATTTTCTGGTGGACATCAAAGGACCTACAATTGCATTTTTGCCCGTGCTTGCTTTCGAAGGAGGAACCAGGAGAAACATACCGAAGTTTGAGGTTTGTATGCGTTTAAATTGCGCCTATATATTTATTGCCATGGTGCTCATATCATTGAAAATGTATACTGGAAACATGAGTATTTGAAGAAAAAACTAAAGCATCGTTATTATTGCTTTCTTGTCCTAAACATCAATGAAACAACTGTCATTATCTCTCTGCAATGAGCCTATGCAGCCTCATCTACTGGACCAGTTATTACTCCCAAGAAAAAAAGTTATTTATATATAAGAGGGAGATTTAGGGAGCTTTTATGAGCTTTAAGTTTGTCTTGATCTTGTTATTGGTGACTGGTTCTAACTTCCTGCAACTTAAATGATCTTCAAAGTCATGTCAAAGAAAATGTGTGAAAATGGTTCTATAAATTATTTGAAAGACAGCCTTTACGACAAATTTTCAGAAAATAGATTTTTTGTTTTGGGGGGTGAGGGTGGGGAAGGAACACGTCTGTATTGAGACGTATTAATTTCATTGTTGTAATTTTGGTCCTTTGCGTGATAGCTATTTATTCTCTTTTAACTTCAAATTTAGTTTTTTTTTTTGGGTGCAATCCTTTACCATGGCTAATCAGTTACTTGACAGGTGGGTACATTGCTTTATGTCCGGGTAGTGAAGGCAAACCCTGGCATGAATCCTGAGTTATCATGCATTGATGGTTGGTTTTCTATCTTTTCTTTTTCATTTTGGGACATGCTTTATATGTCAATTCGTGTGCCTTGTGTTTTAGTTCTTGTAAATGTTGCTTCATTGGATTTCTGTGATTATTTCTTGACTATGATTGAAATTTTTGCGTAATCTCTAGCCAGTGGAAAAGCAGCAGAGTATGGTCCTCTTAAGGATGGCTACATGTTTGAATGTTCAACTGGCCTTTCAAGAATGTGAGATGTAGTTCCCCTTGCTATGATATGTAAGAAGTGCTTAGGGGATAGATACTGCTGTTGTCTAAGCACATGGTCAATGCATAAAACAGAGGGTTTTCTTTCTTCTATTTTAAAATTAACCAGTCATCCGGTTTTCAGGCTGCTGAGCTCACCAAGATGTCCAGTTCTGGTGGCGCTTGGGAAGAATATTTCCTTTGAAACAGCAATTGGTTTAAACGGCCGTGTTTGGGTATACTTCTTAACGGCCTTTTTCAATTTTATTTTTTAAAAAATTATTCTTTCTTAATTGGGTGTAAACAGTTCCTTGTATCTTCGTTGTAGCTAATTTCTTTGCTTTCACCATGAATAGAAAAACCTATTCCAACTAAGATCATTGCTTGCTCAGCTTGATTTCCCTTTATTGGGTCTTGGCTGAACGTAATTCTCAGTGGAGACATTTTCATTGTCGTAGACTTGTTTTCTAAAACTCCTTTTCCATTTGAAACATAATTCCTTCTAATACCAAGTGTTTTAAATTCTTCTTAACTTCCAGGTCAATGCTGGTTCACCATCTACGGTGATCGTTGTTGCTAATGCAATTATGAACTCAGAATCTCTGAGTGGGGTGCAGCAGAGAATTATGGTGGATAAACTTATTCAGAATTTGAAGTTATCAAGTTAGTCCATCACGTTATGATTCAAACTCCTATCTTAATTGTCTGCATGTTTCTGTATCATTTTGTTTTGACTCTGTTATGATATTAAACTAACTTTCTTTTATGCTTTTTGTGTAGCGTGACAATTCAAGAAGTGCAAGCATTGTAGCTGTCAAACTCGGCCTGTTACACAGAAGACGTTTTTTCATGAAGGTTAAAGAAGACACTGGAATCCAGTGATCATAATCTCATATGCTAAAATGGTATTTAGGATGAGCCTTCTAAACCAGTAGAGATGTCTAGGAACTATGTCTTAACTCCAAATTTTGTTAATTAGCTTTAGAGCTTAGAAGTATACTGTTTATTTAAGCGGCAGATTTCATCATGTAAATTGAGAATGTGCCTATGTATTTTGAATTCACAAATGCAATTCGACTTGTGCCCCATTATTCAAATGTTACAGCTTACAAAGCTACAATGAAACTCCTGTTTCTTTACACCAGGTTCAATGTGACAACACACTGCTGCCTAGCGATGTACACCATCATGTCCCTGAATTTGGGTCAGAGAACTATACTATAGATGTTGAAACCTGTACTTGGGTTCCACTATAATTTACTGTTTTGACGACAAAGCCACTGTACTGTTTTTGTGTCAGTTTGGCAGAAATTGCGCAAGCAACAATGATATCTTAGTTTAACCCTTTTCTTTCTTAAATGGTTACTTATAGGTAAAACATTTTGAAGCTCGGGTTGCAGCCGATTAACAAGCTTGAAAGCAAGTTATCTACTCCTGCCATAGCTTGATAACGGGTCTATCAGTGGTTGTATACAATCATGTACATATCTCTCTCATCACGTTACTGGCTATGAACCAATACAATCACGTACTGATAGAGACATAAACAGAGTTGTATATTCACAACATTCTGAATCATGTTGCTTATTACTTTGTGCTCAGCTCGTGCACTATCAAGATTCTCAGGGCTTTTGCTGCACTGGTAAGAATTGGAGATGAGAGGAAAATGATCACGGACTGGTTCAGCAATGGATCAATACAGTCCACACACGTGGTCCACCATTTTCTGAATGATGCATTAAATGCAACTGCCACACTCACATGTATGTAAAAGGGTCTCAGTGATTATGGACCTTTGGTAAATTGCTAGTCTCATTGATTGCTGTCTTTGTTGTATTAGGTTCCGAAGGTTCTCACTGTGCCTGTAGCCCACAAGGACAGTGATTCATAATTAAGCTTCCAAAAGTACAAACCCCAGTTTGTGAAGTCTTACTCTCACTCAGACCAAAACTGGATCTTGCATTGCCTTCCTGATTTTCTGTATCTGATCACTCTGTCATTTTCTTATTTTTTAAATTTGATTGCAGTGTTTTCCGCTGACTTATAATGGCTTAGTTGAAACTTGAAAGCTGGTTGATTTTCAGATTATTTTCTGAAAAGTACCAACTTGGTCAAAGAGGTCATCATTTATATAATTATATTGCTTGCATGCATGTGAAACTTTCAATTCAATTGTAAGAAGTCTATTGGAAATGGGGGAAAACAAAAACCCAGTTTCTTGTAACTACAGAGAAATTATTATATGGATCTCTCTATTTTGTACCAGAAAAATATATGATGGTTTAATTATTTTCACTTTCAGTGATTGAGCTCAGATGATCAGAGGCTAGCTACTTCTTCTGGAAAATAGAATAACTAGGAGCTATTAATTATATATCAGCTGGCTTGAAATTCCATGCTGTGATTCTTCACTTATTATATATATATATATTCTCACTCACATCTATTCATTCAAAGGTCATAGATTCACAGGCCTACTGGCTTGGTATGTTGTAAGTTGCATACATATTGATCCCTTATAAGATCATGCAGCAGACTAACTTGCGCAACTCAAATAGTGAATAACTAGCTTCAGACCCAAACACACAGCCCTACTCTCTCTCTCTCTCTCTCTCTCCACGGGAATTTTGCGGTGAGAAAGAAACAAAATCCAATGATTCAAGTAGTCTCTCAGACTTGAAAAAGAAGCTTGCAATTCACAGATTCATTGGATTATACCTAGAGATTTGTGCAAAAAAGAATAGCCAAACTAGGTGCAAACCAAAAATGTGAAAGTGAAACAAATAAACAGAAGCAAATGTTTCACCAATTCATGCATGCTGCGAATATAACAAAACCAAGATATATAAAGATTTTTTCCCCATCTTTTATCAGTTTTTCTTAAGAACAAAAGTTGTGAAATGAATTTCAATCGATGATATGGAAAGAGACTCTGCATGATAGGATTAATCTGCAACGAACAATAGATGGGGGCATCATCAGCACGTGCTAAAAGACGGTGTGCAATCTTTGACTTCTTTTCAGACCAATGTGTGTCACGTTGGTTTTGTTCCTGTGTCACTGTGTATGAACACAATAGCTACCATAGAATTTATGTGCATTGCCTTCATCTTCAGGGTAGGTAACAAAATTAATATACTTTGAATTTTTTTGTAATTATTTGACCCATAATCTTTAGTTTGAAAATGACTTTTTCATTCTGTTTCTGT